GCCCGACGCTTGCTCCCCTTTGGCCCTGCCCGGGCTTTCGCTGCGCTGCTTTGATTGGCTTACTTTGCAATCATCAGCTGTTTATACAGATCGTCAAGAGGGCAACGGGATCTCCGCAGGATAGGGAAGAGTCCTCTGACGAAGTCTTTGCTAAGCGGAAAGCTTAATTTATCTTTTTAAAAAGTGTACACTATTTGTACGGTCTGAGTTTTTTTAAGATTGTCTAATACCAATAGCACGTTTTATTTTAAATAAATACCAACAAATGCAATTAGGTATTGCTGCTAAATAATTATACAGTAATAAATACAATAAAAATACCTAAATGAATCTGGTAGCTTTCCACACTCATTTCTAAAACAGCACAATACAATGGTACATATTTCTCTTTACTGGAAGCATGCCTTACTTCATTTTTCTAAAACGTTCAAGGGAGTTCACAACATTAAACTCAGTCAAGCTTTCGTTCTACAGGGTTTACCTTATTGTAATCCCTACTGAATGCACTGACTTTTGAGAAAATTTCCTGAGTGAAGCTTACCCCTGCCTTACTTAAGTGTCATCAACGAAGAAGACCTCAGAATGCATCAGAGAGGGCTTTCAGAATCAGGCTGTAAGCTATTGTTACGAATTTAATTTATTTGCACTTTAGTAAACTTTCAATGGGAGAATGAGATTTTTAAAAAATACTTAAATTAGTCCTTTTAAATACAACTGATATTGTTATCCCCCAAACCTCAGGGGGTAATGCCCTCTGATTATTAAACACAATTGCTTTAGTCATTCTAAATCCCTTGCCTATTCTCCTAAAATGACTGAAAGGTCTTTAGCTGTTCAGTCCTATGTACATTTACATGGAAATATGTCTCATTGTTCCAATGGAGACCATTCCCAGGTAAGTTGCACAGGAGCCTTCCATCATTCCAACATCTGATCTAGCTTTAAACAGTAATTGCGAGGGACCATTTTAAAATAGTCCAAGTGCTTTTTTCCTTGATAATATCACACACTGTAGCAAAAAGGTTAACTGAA